CAATGTTAATTATGCCTCATAAAACAAAACACGTGCACTTACTATTTTGGCTATTTGTATTCAAAATTAATTGGAATTCACAAAATGTATGTAAAAAATATTTTAAGTTTATATACATATATATATATATACACACACACACATCTATATCTCACAACTTATAAATTTACTTGATAGAATTCAGGTTTCCAGTTTGGGGCTATTTCAAATAAAATTACCATGGGTAGCAGAGTTCAAGTCTTTTTACTGGTATAAACATAAAAGTATTTTATTTTTCAACATCTACAAGTGCAACGGCTGGGTCATATGGTAGGCATCCGCTTAAGTTTTAAGAAACAGCCATACTGTTTTCCAACAGTAGTTCTACCATTTTTGCAGTCTTATGTACAATATATTGAAGTTCCAGTTTGTTTACATGCTGGCGAATACTTGAAATGGTCAATATTCCTCATTTTAGGCCTTCTAACCCCAAGATACTAAGTGTGGTTTTAGTATGCATTTTCCTAATAACTAAAAATGTTGAATGTCTTTCATGTGCTTGTGATCTGTCTTCTTCATTAAGTACTGCACCTGTTCAAATTTTCAGCAAATTTTTAACTGTCCATTTCTATACACACACATACACACACACACACACACACACACACACAAGGATGTTAAGATCTTGACTGGGGATTGTGTTTGGCACACACCTGTAATCCCAGCACCTGGGAGGCTAAGTCAGGAGGATCGTTGAGAGTTCAAGACCAGCCTGGGCTACAGAGTGAGCTAGCTCAAGGCCAGCCTGAACTGCATAGTGAGACCCTGTCTCAAAAAGACAATAAAAAAAAAAAGAAAAGAATCTATCAGATTTTCTACATAGGTGATTACTAAATCGCTTATTATTAAATTTAGTTTCTTTCCAATCTGGGTGCATTTTCTTTTTCTTATTACATTGGTTATAAAATCTATGTGTTTCTGGTACAATAAATATCATCTTTATTCCTAGCACTAATCTGTTACCCCCATTTTGTAGATAAGGTTCAAAATGAGTGATCCAATGATTCTTGCCGTCTTACAGTTTAGAAGTAGATAGTGGTCCCAACTATGATTTTCAGGGTGCAAGCCTTCACTACACATTTTTCTACTTCTGTTTATTTCTAGAATTTTCTGGAGTCCAGTTTCTATAGTAGGCACTTGAATAAATACAATGAACGCTTTATGCTCAAGACAACATATTTAACTATAACACCACCACTCTAATACACAGTAGAATCTCCTCCTCTTAGGAGTGTGAGGCATTTCCAAATTTGGTTTCAGGCTTGCACAAAGAATAGTTCGCCAAGATTATTCATTCACGTACTCTTTCGCATGGATACTACTAATTTCTCCCCCTTCTCTCCGGTAAAAATATCATTTTTTGAACATACTGGTCCTTGGAGTCCACTCCACAGACTCCAGAAAGGAGGAGAGAGCCAGCCTTCCTCAGCACTCAAGATTTTCAAACGCACGGGCTTCAGGCGGGAAAACTGAAGCCATGACCTCGGGGGTCATGGGAGTCCACAGAGACCCCCAGCTCCTTCCACAGTTCGCCCATCCCTACCTAGTCCCCTCGGGTTTTGATGGAAAACGCTGCATCCCCATACCGCCTCTCCACTGTCACCTAAGAGCCGCCTCTCCACTGTCACCTGCCTCAGAGAACGACGAAAGTGCGGAAGCTCGGGGGTGACAGACTACAGCGGAACCCAAGCTCCGCGTACGCGCTGACGTCACGCGGACGCCGGCGCGCTGATCCCGCCCACTGCCCGGCCACGCCGGTTTCCGGCGCGAGCGCGAACTGTGTGCCAGTGAGGCTGTTGCTAGGGACTCCGCACAGCGCCGCGCTCTCTTCCGGCGTCCGTCCGCCACGATGCCTCACTTGGAGAGCTTGGTGTTGTGTCGCGAGGCCCAAGTGTCCACTTTGCAGTCCCTGTTTGGAGAGGTATTGTGGTCAAACTTGTTTCCCTGCGACCTGTTCCCTGCGGGGGAGGGGCCACGCCGCGACTTCTGCGTTGCCATGGGGGTTTTTGTAGATCTGCCGCACACACCCACACTTTCTCAATAAGTGCTTTTCAAAGGAGAATGCGCGCGAAGGGTACGGGATGTTGGCCAGGCTGTGTTAACACATGCCCCATGCTTTCGGGATGGTGTTAGCCCAGAGTAGCCCCCAGAAGTTGCTCGGTTCCTTACCCCAGCTGAACCGGGTTTTACATAACAGGTGGGTTTGCAGAGTATTATCCAAGTGTAAATTCACACGTTTCAGTGAGGTAGTTGGTGGGAATCAAGCACAGAGAGGTGGTTTGTTTTCAGGGCCACTGAGGACCAAAGCAGTGCGTCAGGCTTAAAAATCCAGCAGCTTTTACGGAATTGCAGAAGCCTTAGTGTGGGCTCCTTCCTGTCCTCGACTCGCAGTTCAGAGGGTGCCCTAGGATAGAGGTTACCTTCTCTGAATGGACGCAGCCATGGAGTCCTTTCCCTAGGCGTGAGCTACTGTTGGCCAATTCACGACTTTATCTGTTTCCTATTATTTTCTGGTATACCTTTTGCTTCATACTCATCAATAGAATTAATCAGACTTAGAGGAGAATAAAAAGAACTAAGATAACGTTATGTACATGTACCTACTTCCCACAATGAATGTAATCACCATGTACTACAAATACGTACTAATAAGAAAAAAGAAAGGCAAGAAAGAAAATAGATCTTATCTGTGAGAAAGGTAAATAAAACTAACCATCTTCTGGTTTGCTTTTTCAGTGTGCTTTATCCAACTAGAAATGCTGGCTGTCAGTCTTGAGGTGTCCTGTGAAGTTAGTGGAAAAGCACCACCCTCCATCTAAAGGGACGCAATAGTTAAAGAGATCACCAATTGCATTCTCAGCCAGTTGTTTAATGTTTTAAATTATAGTTATCTACATTATCACTGAAAAATTTTCTTGGTTATTTTCTATGGATTCCTTTCCTGGAATTGAGAAACCCAGGTCACTCGAAACCAAAAGTGGTCCTCCTGACAGAAAGTTTTGGCAAATAGGGATGAGTAGTGTTGACTAAATAGTGGATCATAAGAAGAGTTTAGATCTTTGCTTTTATTGCATATCATGATTAGCAAAACTGAAAGCACTTTAGGGTGCCATGCATGTGGGAAATCCAAAGAACTAAAAGCAAAAAACTGATTTTTGTCTCCGAAAATTCATTTATTTTTTCAAAAAGTAAGTATTTACTGAGCATCTGTTTTTTGTATCAGGCACTGTATCCTGGCTTGTTATGATTTTCATGGAGGTTTATAAAGGTGAAAGGTAAAATGAGTGCAAGAGTTCATTATAATTCTAGGTAACAGAAAAGATTTTATAAGTTGGGATATTAGGCACCAAATAATGGATATAGACAAGTATGACAGGATTCCAAAACTGATGAATTTGTTGAAGCTTGGAATAAACTTGTGAAGCATGGTCATGACTTTTCATTAAAGGTGAAGTATAGTATTTAGACAGCCAGAATACTCAACAATGTACAGTACATTTAATACCTGAAATAATTTTTGAGACAGTTCATATATAAGATTGTTACATATGACCTTCAGGATACATGTATTAAAATATTGATTTAGTGAATTTTGTCTCTTTTTTAATAGCTTGATTGTTGTTGCTGTATTATATGCCATTTAGAAGCTTTTTCCTGTATAAATCTGAGTTCTTGATTTGTTTTCTAAGAAGAAGTGTATAACTTAGAGACTAGCATATAATAAATGTCTGCAACTACTGTTGCTGTGGTACATAATGATCAGAGACTCAACTTTCTCGTGGAAGTAGCATCATTGAATTTTCTTGTAATTATTTTTAAAATGTCTTTCTCCCCACTTTGTGCTATTCAGTGCATTATGGTTCAGTCTTTAGGAAGAATCTCACAGTGTCTGTATGATGAATGCAACCTGTAGTATTGACTAGACCAATAGAGCACCCTTTAAAAATTGTTACTTTTCTCTAGGCTGATAATTTAAAGTATTGTAGAAGGACCTTGCGAATGTGTATTTTTATGTATTTATTTATCTTTTTGCAGTGCGGGAGATCAAATCCAGGTTCTCAGGCATGCTTAGCAAGTGCTCTACCACTGAGCTACAGCCCCTATTCCCATTATGTATTTTTATTTTTAATTAATTAATTAATTTATTTATTTTTTGGTACCGGGAATTGAACTCATGACCTCAGGCTTACCAGGCAAGCACTTATACCACTGAGCTACATCCCCGGCCCCCATTATGTATTTTTAAATATATGCTATGCAAAATTTGTTGACATTTGCTTTGATGAAATGTACACATTTGTGCCAAGGTCAATGAATATGCTTAATTCAAAAGTATTTTATAAGTTTTCCTAAAAATGAAGACTCTTGAAATGTCTTCTAACCCTGTGACCATATATGCTTAGTTTCAAACATTAAAATGAAATAAAAGTATCAAGACAGAAATGGAGTATAGATAAAATTATCCTTGAAAACTCCTTTAACTTTAGAAAATTGAGAATTTTTATACAAGAGTTTGTATATGCAAACCAGTACAATAATAAAAGAATAATTATATAGTATATTTTATTTTAATGCTGTATATGGCATATAATTATACTTTTATTGTTTTACAGGAGGATTTTATAACACATAGTGCTTAGCATAAAATTTAAGAAAGTTTAAAATGTGATTATGAATTCCAACAGTATATTTACTGTTGGAATATTTTGGATTGAATGTTTTATTGTGCCACATAAAACTTTATCACAAGTTGATAAATGTGCATTTTTTGTTTGTGCAGATTAATACTTACCTTTCTCCCCTAGAGACATCATTTCAGCTTTCCATCCATTTTCATTTATGGACATACTGCCAGTGGAAAGACCTATGTAACGCAAACATTGTTGAGAACTTTAGAGGTAAGAATAAACTAGAGTCGAGGTTAAATTAAGTAGTCTTTACTTACAGACTTCTAGAAATGGAAGGGATCTGGGAGATTATTTAATGTAGTTTACCTTTCTCTGAAGGAATATTTTCTACATAAAATATTTCTGACCAAATTTTATTTGAATACTTTTAATAAGTGTCAGCTTTAAAAGCCATTAAAAGTTATCATATAACTTGAACCTTGCCTGACATTAGAAAGTTACTTTTTAATTTGAGCCATATTTTCTTTTCCCTTTCATTGATTGGTAATATTTTATGAAAAACACATATAATAGTATATTCTTTTTTTATTTTAAAGAGAGAAAAAAAGAACAAAATAACAACAAAGACAAAAACCAAAACAATCCAAAAAAAATAAAAACGATACAGAATTTCAAAACAAGATGATAGGAAATTAACAATGGTTATTATATTCATATTGTTATGTTCAACAAAGTTGCTCAAATCACCAGATGTAAGAATGCAAGATTGATCAAACCATTAAAGAGAATAAAAAATAAAACAGTAGAAATGATAAAGAGCTTCACTAAACAAGATGGTAAGAATTCAACAATGGTTGTTATATTGCATATTGTTGTCTTCAAATTAGTTGTTCAGGTTTCATTAATTGTGCCAGATCCCACACATTATCTTCTTCTGAATGATCAGTGTTGCTTTTGTGATATCATTTGAAGAATAGACCACATTTGTTTGGTTTCTTTAATACTTGCAAAATTGCTTCATATTAATAGTTTTTTAAACGTGGAGCTCATTCTTACAGTTCTTATGGGAGTATTATTATGGTTTCTGACTTAAATTTTTTGACCTATATTTATTCATCATGAAAGATAATATTATTTTAAAATTAAAAATAGGAAATTTCTAGTAAGGATTTTAACTTTTGTGTGTACCTGGGTTTCTGTATTAGAAGTTTTCTTTTAATCCCTGTAGGAAACAAATGACAAACTCAAATAATTGTAGTGAGTGTAATGACGGGGCTATTTTTACAAAGGTTGAGGAAGTTTTAAAGGATCAAAACTGAAGATGGGACAGTGACGCCCCAGGGCCTTACTATCCCATACCTGAAAGGACCTTAAACAGCTGTTGCCAGAACCCAGCAAGAGCTGTGACCTTAGAAGAAGGGCTTCCCAGTGAGCTGTGGCCCATGGTACAGGAATGCAGCCATGGCCATCTGGACCACCGGGAAGAAAGCGGAAGTGAAGGAGTACTTGGTTTCTCTCAGCTGCTCTCCTTCAGTGTCCTGCTGCTGCTTCCTGTTGGCTTCTCCAGCTCAGCCAGAAAAGAGAGTCTGGGTGATGCAGGCTGTAGAGGTCCAGTTCCTGAGGCAGAGCGCAGATGGAAGAATGGTGGGGTTCACATTGTCCAGCAGAACCCTTATGATATATGTGTGTGGGTTTTTTTTTTTTAATATTTACCCTTTTTTGGTTTTTGTTTTCAGCTTCCGCACGTCTTTGTGAATTGTGTTGAATGCTTTACTCTAAGGCTGCTTTTGGAACAAATTTTGAACAAGTTGAATCATCTTAGTTCTTCAGAGGAGGGGTGTTCTACGGAAATAACTTGTGAAACATTTAATGACTTTGTTCGCTTCTTTACACAAATAACCAAAGCTGAAAATCTCAAGAATCAGACTGTATATATTGTAAGTAATATAATTTGATTATATCATTTCTTTCAAAACTGAATTGTGTATTAGATCAACTTCCACATAATGTTTTGCATCTCATTTTGTACAGTGCTCTGTGCGAGGTGCTTTAAAGATAGAAAAATGTGTTAGAGCTATTCCTTATCTAAAAGGAGCTTCAGTAGAAGAGTTACAACACATATTTACACATGACAGTGTGCAGACTGTGATAAGTGATAGCCATGAGGTGCAAAGTAGTGACTTGGGTACATCTGGTACATCTTCATGAGGTGATAGATAGCATTAGAAATGGCCCTAAAAGAAATGGGTGAAGAAACTGAAGAGGAATTTCAGGTGTAGGGAGTGATGTTACCAAAGGCATGCAGGTGAGAGAATGCCGAATAGTTTTAGTAGGTTTTAAATTATAAAAGGAGAAAATTAAAGTTTGGAAAGGTAAACTGGGGTGAGGTCATGAAGTTTCTTGAAAACTATAGCAAAACAGTTTGTTTCTTTTCCTAGGCAGTAGAAGGAGGTAGTGAAGATTTTAGAGCAACAGTTATGCCATAGGAACATTTCTGTGAAGGCAGGGGGATGAAGGACTTGATGACTAGAAGAATGGTTTTGAGACTATTCTATTTATATGAGAAGAAATTTGGTCCTATGTTAGAGTTGAGGCAGAAGCAGCAAAAAGAAATAGAGACAGCAAAGGTCAAATTTGTCACTTGTGTATGGGATGGGTTTATGCGAGAAAGTGAGCCGTTTGATTTTATGTGGGCTAAGTTTAAGTTGTAATTGTTAAATCAATATGAAAATTATGAGTACATAATTGAAAATATGTATAGTAGTGCCCCCTGTGTATGAAGGGTACATTTTAAGACCCATACAGATGATTGAAACAGTGACTAGTTCCAAACTCTATAGATACATTTTTTTTTCCTGCATATACATACCTAGGATAAAGTTTTATTTAAACATTCAACACAATATTATTATCTGGACCTTTGCTTTCCATGGTTTCAGTTATTAAACGGAACAGTTCCAGAAATAAATAATTCATGAATTTTTAATTCCACACCATTTTAAGTAGTGTGATGAAATCTCTCACTGTCCTGCTCTGTCCTACCAGGGATGTGAATCATCCCTTTGTCTAGTGGATCCACATGGTACATACTACCCACCTGCTAGTCACTCAGCTATTAGACCCACTATCATAGTATCAAATTGCTTATGTTCAAGCATCTCTTGTTTCATTTAACTATCATTCAAAAGTACATCAGTAGTGATGCTGGCAATTTAGATAAGCCAAAGAGAAGCTTCTAAGTGAAAAGATAATAGTATAAGAGGATATTGTGAGACACCACATTTATATAATTTTAATTACAGTATAACTGATCCAATAATTATTGTTAATCTAAGACACAAGGACGTTATTTAGCATCACCATTATCCCAGTAACTTTACTGTAACATTGAACAGAATGTAATCTTTCTTAACACAGTGGATTACCCAGTGAATTAAGAGATATTATGCAGTTATAGAGTGCAGGCAAGAAAAGTTTTATGTGATAAAATTTACAATTTTTTTTTTCCTCAGGTCATGAAGACCTGTAATTTTTGGAACATGATAGACATATGATTATTATTTGTTATATCCCTAAGGAAATGCTCTCATGGCACCATATACCATCATATTTGTTGGTGGTATTCCTATACGTAAACCTTTTAGTGTAGTGATGACTAGTTTTCTAATTAGTTATTTGGATTATGTTGTGTTATAATTTTTTTAACTTATTTAACCTGTTTGCAATGTCTTTTTACAAATATAAATAGTATTTTAAGTTAATTTACAAGTTACAATTTTTCTTTGTGGTATGTAAAGTTCTGAATTATGTAAATGTTCTGATTTTCTCTTTTTGTAAAGGTTCTAGATAAAGCAGAATATCTACGAGATATGGAAGCAAATCTTTTACCTGGGTTTCTTAGGTTACAAGAATTGGTAAGTAATGCATGGGAGTGTTTTCCCTTACAGTAGATCAGTAGACCCATTCTGAGTCAGTAAATTGTGTTGTCACGTTTGTTCATTTTGTCATCTGATAGGTGAGAATGGATATCTTACTGTAAATTTAATTTGCATGTTTTTCTGTTATTCCAGAGTGAATTACAAGGGGCTAGGGTTGTTCTGTTTTGAGACAGGGTCTCACCTTGTATTCAGGCTAGGCTTGAACTTGCTGTGTAGCCCAGGCTGGCCTTAAATTTGCAGTGATCCTCATGCCTTAGCCTCTCAAGTGCTGGGATTATAGGCATTGTTACGGCAGAAATCTCCCGGCATAAATTAGGCTATATTCCACAAGAGACCATAAGAGACCAACTCTGGGGAGAACAAATCAGAGTTTAATTTGAGCCTAGCCACTCTTCCTCTCATTTGCCAATCAGGGAAGTGGGCCCGTGGCCTAACTTCATTCCACCTTGTATACATTTTTGGTTTCCATGGTAACAGGTTGGGATGTTACATTCACTGACCCCGGTTGCCATATGGTCTTTCTCTCATCCTGTGGGACCGCAGGTCAGTTGCACGTCTCATGTCTAACCATGATAGATGTTTCTCCCATTATGTTCCGTTTGTCTCCTTTTTTACAACCTGTGCATTCCTTAAGGGCTGCAATATTTACCTAGGGCCAGGAGATGGAACTGCCCAGGCAGGATCACGGAGGGTTACCTAGGCCTAGGCACCCCTTATCTCGGGGAGACATTCCTGGGCAGAGTTGGTCTAGGGAATTAGCTCTTACACTGTCCTGGGAGGCTTCCCAAGGCACCGCTTAGGCTTTTACTAAAACTATTTTATCTAAAATAATATGCTAAGATTCATTGTCCCCTACAGCATATACCAGTATGCCTGGATTATACAAGGAGTTTCATATTTTCATGATAATAATCTAAAAGAGGAATGGTGGTATTCTGGATCATCTCAATTTCTGTCATATGGCCCCTCAATGTCAGAATTTAGCTTTCTGTTTCAGTTCACTATTGTGTTGACACTAAGTAGTATAAATACTGCTGTGATTATCATGATCCAGAGGAAGAACGGATGAATTGCATATGTGTATGTGTCAGGCGAACGATAATAAAATAGAAAAAAACATGGTTTGGAGTACTTTGAGTAAAGAAAATTGGTGAGCGAATTCTGTCTGTACCAGGATCAGTGTAAGAATGCTTTCTGTGTGTCTGCATCCACTGTTTCCCGGTGCTTCCCTATGGGACTCCCCATCTGGTATTGAATATATTCTTGTCCTCTTGTCCTTCCACTGTCAATGCCTCACCTGCTCTTCCACATGCGCAGGAGTGCAGGTCATGTGTCTCTTCACAGTAGTTAGCCCTTTCACTTTCTTTAGTTTTATTTATTTTTTTTATTTTTTTTTTTTTTTTTTTTTTTTGGTTTTTCTCCGGTACCAGGAACCGAACTCACGACCTTGCACTTGCCAGGCAAGCGCTTTTGCCGCTGAGCTAAATCCCCAGCCCTCTTTCTTTAGTTTTAATTGTAGAAACTATTTGATAAAAAAAAAGGATGTACAGTAATCTCAACTCTACCAGGAAAGCAAATTACTGTTTTGACATTTCTGAAAACATACATGATTTTTAAAAATATATTTCTTTGAAGAGAAATCTAATGAAGGTATTTCCCATTTTTATATTATTTATCTCGGAAAAATGAAATTTAAATTATCAACTGGTTTTATAAAATGCTTTTACATGTGCTTTGTAAAAAGAATGGTAGTTACAGTATATTTATTTTACTGTGCAGAAATTCAGAGTCTTAAAAATCAGTGCATAAAAAGTGTATAGGTTCAGGATCAATAAATAGTAAATCGCCATAATAGTGCAATTTAGGTATGATATTGGGCGCTAGAAGTACTTGTAGAAAAAAATAGCCTTGTCACCCTAGGATATATCAAAAAGAATATGAGAAAAATTAAAACTCGTGTGGAGAATATAGAGTTTGGGTGTGGATAAATTCTAGCTAGCTTGCACAGGCATTTGTGGTCACCCTTGGGAGCGTTACAAGCACATTGAACTCGTTCCTTTTATATTCTTTTCTGCATTCAAATTGTAATTTCTAAATATTCTTCAAAAAGATAACTGTTTTATTTAGTATTGGTTGTTTTAGATACTAATGCTTATAGTTAATTGTTACATTTTTAATGTGTGTTCAGCATCAGTTTTATTCAATAATAAAATATCCCTTAAGAAAACCTTAGTAATCCAAGGTTATAGAGTATGGCCTATGTGCTTTTTATTCAACTCCACATTTCTTTTTTTTTTTTTTGAGTTGCAATAGCTATTGTAATGATGAGAAATAATAAGTTTTTGCCATTTTTTGTTATTGATTGAAAATTTACATTTTTAAAAAAAATCACAAAAAGATTTTTGTCATAATTTTTAAAGCAAATATGTTTATTAATTTCTATAAAATTATTCTTATGTGACTGTCCTAGCACTCACGGGTAACTGAAATGTTGATTAACCTACAAATTTTATGGAAATTCTAAGTAATTATGTATGAAAATTTGCAAATGGTTGAGTTCCTTGATTAGGTTTTCTAAATATGGCTTATTAGTATGCAAATAATTTGTTATATGTTAGAGCTTTGCTGAATTTATTTGAAGAAAAATCCAAATGGAGTTAGTTATGATTAAGTTTTTAAAATGCAAATTTGGTTTTATTTGTTTTTCTTTTACAGAGTGACAGAAACGTGACTGTTCTATTTCTCAGTGAAATTATTTGGGAAAAGTTTCGTCCAAGTACTGGATGTTTTGAGCCATTTGTCTTGTATTTCCCTGATTACAGCATAGGTAAGTTTTAAAGTACTGCTTTTCTGTTCAGTAAAATACTTGTTTGAAAGATTAACCTAGTATGTTCAAATTGGAATACATTGATATACTAATAACTCAGGATTTCTTGACAATCCTAAATGTTGTTTATGTATCTTCACTTGCAGAAGTTTTATTTTGGAGCTGGGAGGATATTCTTATATAATTACTAAATACTTGAATGAGCGCTTTTATATATTTGTGGTAATAGTCTATTTTCTTCATTTTTTTATCAGTACATTAAGATATCTGTGTATATTGTGATTAAACCATCTACACAAAGAAGAATCAGACTAGATTTAAACATTAAAATTGTGTTGAAATCTTCATATACCATATACTTCGTATATACATTATGCTGTCTTGTAAGAATTCTTAGAGATCTCATATAGAATGAATGTGTCTTTGGGTTTTATAAATCTTATTTTTCATTACTGTAACTCTTGTACCAACTGCTAATCTTTGTGCTGCTTTTTTTGGAAATTATATTTAATCTTAAATTTTATAGGTTCTGTTGATTTTTGTCTTTTTGGAAAAATACAGTAGCTTATGTTATTGTGTACCTTTGCAAATTAATATTGGGCTATCACTATACATGGACGATACTTCTGATTCAAAGATTCTAGTTGGGAAGCACAGGGTGCTTAGCAGGCTGTGAGAAAATAGCATCCTGGCCCCTCGGCCTCTAACACCAGTCCTCTAAACTAATCAGCTGTAGACATTCATTGTTAAGATCGACACATTTTTGCCTCTTTTCACAAGAACAGCAGCCAGATAACACCTACTGCTTTAGCTAGTTAACTGTTCTTTTTTTTTTTTTTTTAAGAAACTCAAAATAGACTAAAGGATTCCTTAATTTTAATAGCTTCTCATCCATGAAAGTCACAAAATAAAGAAAATAATAGAAATAAAGGGATAAAACACAGGATTGCCTTTAAAACATTCCTTTAGATCTATGTCATCACTGTAGTTAAATTTTTTTCCTTTTCATTTTTAAGCACTGAAAAAGTATTTGGAATTTTAAGAAATGTTTGCTGTCTACATTATAGTGAAGTTAAAGTATCATATGGTTTTATGACTTGATTAAAAATTTTTAAAAGGCACAAAGCAGCATAGGTGGAGAATGAGGACAAAAATGTAGTGAGGGTAATGGGTTTTTGAAAAGTATATACTAATGAAGCCAGGTTAAATCTGATTATCAAATTTTATGTGTCAAGCTTTTTAAAAGCATAACGACTATAATCAGATAAAAAACCATTCAAGAAGGAAGCATGAACTGATAAACCAAACTATGGTTAGAGTAAATAATCATGAAACCAGGCTAAAGAGATGACCTTGGTGGTGAATTGCATGCAGTCATGCTAAATTTAATGCTTGTGTTATATTTTGGGATGTGGCATCAGATACCTAGAACTCATCTCCCAGCGGTTCTGGCAAAAGACCCAATGTAGAACTCTTGTTTTGTGGTCTTTACCACGTGCACACCACTTGTCTTTTGGTTATGTGTTTGTTTTTTTCTTTCAGATAGACTATAGTGTACTTGATTAAGTTTTTGGCATAGATACTGTGTCAGTCAAGATAGGTTGAGAATGAAAATATCAATGGTTTATAATTCCCCAACCTTTGCACTATTGCTTTCCTGCGTTTTCTACCTTTAAGTTCATAATCCATTACTATTTTGACTTTAATGAAATAAAAAGACAAGAAAGAATCTTCCATTGCTAATTCTGCTTAGGAATTTTTTAAAATGTCTTCATGTATATTTTCATACAATTTAGGAAAAAATTTAGCCATTATTTCATCAAATATTTTGTTTGCTACCCCCTTTTCACCTCCTACAGCTTTTCTTTTTTTCCTCTGGACCACATTTTTTTGTATTAATCCATGGCTTTTCTTTGACTATGCTTTGAAAGTGAAATTTTAAGATACCAGGAGATTAATTAGAAATTTTCCCCTTCATTTACTACAAACTTTCTGTTAGAAATGGGATTTTTTTTTTCCCATGACTGAATGGTCCTAGGCTATCAGATCTAGCATGACTTACCAAATGTATACTTGTACTCTGAATCAGTATCTGTGGTCTATACAAGAATGGCTGGGCTGCTCATAAAGCAGTGCAGTAAGCGTTCTGATTCTTACAGGGTGTTTGTCAGGGCTAAAATGGCCCAGTGGTAACATCTAACCAGCTTTCATATGGGATATTGAGGGTTGCCTGCATGGGTTATCTAGTTAGAGATGCTCACAGAATGAACATCTAAAGCCAGAGTGCCCCGGAGTGTGGTGTGAGCTAGAGATGCATATATTTTCCAGATTTCCTCACCCATGCATTTATAGACCATCTGTTGTGCCTTTATATATTCATCTGTCTGCCCATTCATTTCCTTTTTCTCTTTTCTTTCCATTTATCTAGTTATTTAGTATCTTTTATATGTGTCTTTCTATGTTTAAGGTACCTTGTAGAGAATTTCAGTATCAAATATTTTCTCACACATAGTTTAAGACAAGGTAGTGATACCATATTTAAAGTTTGCTATCAGATTGCAAAAGTACACAGGCTTTTGATATAAAAGTGCAGTTCCCATTTGAAGATGTGACTCAATGGTAGAGTTGTTGTGTAGCAAGCATGAGGCCCTGAGTTCAACCCCCAACACTATAAAAAATAAATAAATTTAATAATAAGTTATTATCTACTTAGTATTCTCTCAGGAAAATATTCTAAGCATAAAACTAGGCTTTGAAATAGTCTTTTTCGTCAACCGGAGGTATTTCTAAGCTCTGCTGATAGATTTTTATTGGTAGTCAATATATATTATTTGATTTTCCAGTTAAAGTATATTTAAATGATTGTCAGGAGTGGGAGATTAAAATCAAGAACGGAGCATGGTTTAAATGCTTAATTAATGGGAAACTTAAAGAAAACGACAGAATGAGAACATCCTGGGAGAGTTTTTACCTGAGGTTACTGCAAAATACCTATACCACCTAGAACTAGTTTTAAAGTATTAGTTATATTCAAAGAGCTTTTAACTAAGAAGTCTAAAGAAACTGTAGCACCAGAAATTCAGAGGTTACTGTGATAGGAGTGAGTGACTAATTGATTCATGTACTATGACTGGAAAATTATGAGTAATAGATAGTTATTTCTCTTTAATTGTAACTGTGCTTCTACAATATATTTTTAGCAAGGTAAAATATGTAAGAACTGTAAGCATATAATATTATCTAAAGAGCTTCAAATAGAATAGAAAAGAAATACAGATACCAAAGTTGTAGGTAAAAACATGTTTTATAAAAAGTGGACTGACAAAGTAAACATAGGCATCAGGGATGGTTATTTTAAAAATTTCAACAATTATTTTTATTTTATGAAAAGTGAAGATCATTAGAATTTTTAGTTTGGTGATAGGTTTTGTACTATACCCTCCTTTTTTCTAGTTGATTTAACAGAAAAACTAGAATATATTATTCTATCTTTGGTACTGATTTTGATTTTGCCAGTAATAAAATTATTGAAATTTTCCTTAGATGCTCTTTTTTATGTGACTTATGCAACATTTAGTAATTCTTTTTAGAACATTAGTACATATTTTTTGATGTTAGTTTCAGAATTTGTATTCCATTTTCTGAACCGTTTCTACTGAAAACACTGCGATGCTGAAAGTGTTGGCTTTTCCCTCCACTGAAATACAGTTCTGTCACTGTCCAGGCACCAAATGGACAATTCGTTCACTTCTGAAACTGACTGTAAGAAGTTAGTGCAGACTGTGCAGGTCTGTTTCTCAAGATTGTTCCCACTTCAAATGCCAGTTGCAAGTCCCAAATTCCCACCTGTACTTCTGAAAACTGGCTGTAAATTAACGGTTCCTCTGACATCCTGCGGAATAGAATTTGCCAGAATGGCTCACAGAACTCAGCATTTCATGTACTAGTACCATTTTCTTCTAAACCATCTTGTTAAGGACACAAGTGATCAGCCAGACAAAGGGTCCCAGGCTTGGAAATGTCTGTCTTGGTGGAGTGGCAGTGTACTGCTCCTCACAGCGTGTGGATGCATTCGCCAGTCTGGAAGCTGTCTCTACCTCATCATTCAGGGGCTTTGATGGAGGTTCCATCATATAGGCATGAGTGATCCATTGCCTTGGGGAAGGAGCTGATCTTGAGCACATTTCTCCTTCCTGGAGGTCAAGGGCTAGAGCTTCTTCAGTTCCCATCCTTAAGCCATGTTAGAGGCCCATTGAGGATCACCTCATTATAAACACAGGTGTGTTTGAAAGAGACTACAAATTATAAAAGATGCTTCTCTCACTTGCTCTCTTGAGATTTTAAGTTATGCCAGAAGCTGGGAACAAAGACAAATGCATATTTATTTCTGAGTCCCAAAATCACACTTTTCTATTCTAATCTTACGACAGTTTTATTATGCTTTATTGCTGGGCGTGGGTATTTGTTTTTTAATCTTTTGTTAGAAAATGCTTGAAGATGAGGTTAAGGTGCTGTGTTAATCATTATAAACTAATTGGTGTCCTGTGTACAGGGAACCTTCAGAAGATCCTGTGCCATGATCATCCTCCAGAGTATTCCGCTGATTTCTATGCTGCCTACATTAATATTCTTCTTGGAGTTTTCTACACTGTTTGTCGGGATTTGAAAGAGCTTCAGCATCTGGTGAGTGAGCGTTTTGCAGTCATAGATAAATACATGTATATATATTTTAGTAGTTTTCCATGTAGAAATCACCAAGATAGGCTAGAAGGTAAAAATATATTTTAGAAATTTGTGCATGGCCTTATAAAAGAAAATACCATAAAAAGGATGATATGTGTGGGTTAGGTATACTTTGACCTTGTGAGAAAATTTATATCATTCAACTTTAGTTACGTCTTTTCACTCTTTTTTAGGGGTGTGGATTCTTCTTTTCTCTTTAGTTGCAGAAAATGTAGAACTCCATTACAATCAAATGAAGATTAATAAAAAGTTGTAGGAAGTTAAGCAGTTTTACATCTTTCTGTTAACTTTTGTAACGTATCTCTTCTAGGCTTTATGTACGTAGTCACTGGCCTAGAATCTAGATGGATTTGAGTGTAGTAAGAAGCTTTAGTTATAGATATTTCATAAAGCATGTAAGTTAGATCTTTGTAGAAAATGTCCTTTTAAAATGGTTTTTAAGTATTAAAATACCTGTTAGTGTTTCACAGGCAGTTTGGAAAATGATTATGTTTAAGTTTTCTTTGACTTTTTTTCCCTTTAATTGTGGAGTCTTGAACGGGACAAGAGTCTTTGGCTTCTCCCTTCAGTTCAGACTCAAGGATCTTATTTCCATGTAACAAAAAATAGTAATACAAGATGCTGAGGGCTAAAACTGAGTTACTTTCAAAGTGAAGGATTCTCTCTCAGCACAATTTTTGGTCTTTTAAGTGCTATTCATAAGTTATTTAACATGTGTTTCAAAGTTTCAACCGAGAAGCGTAGCAGTATATTTTAAATCAGCTAAAAAGTTATTTACCTCTTTTGGTTAACATTATGATATCTGGTGTTCTTGGCCAGTGCTATGATTGGAAAGTGTAAAACTAAGGTGAGACAGTTGGCCAAAGGGAAAATTTTTTTCATCCTTTTCTCTACGATTAATATTATCCCCTTTCTTTGAGGTTTTGTAGCTACACATTTATGTATATCTTTTCTCTATGTCCCAGGATTGAATTATTTCAATATAAAATACTTGGGCCAAATAATATTGATAAATATTAATAAATAATACCCAAACCAATTAGCTTACTTTCAGTAGAATTCTAGATTTGATTCATGGACAATTACTAGACATTTAAGATTAGTTATAGTTCTTAAACTTTAGAATACAGATTTTACTAGAAAGGTTGTTAGACATAGGTCCCTGGGACTTACCCTCAGAGATTCTGGTTTACCACACCTGAGACAGTGCCAAAACTTTTTTGGTAGTAATCTCAGGTAGTGCTGCCCGTCCTAATTCTTGGAGTCATACTGACCTTCAGTGATGTTTATGGCAATGTTTAGACCTTAGAAGATAACAGGTAATTCTCAGGGCTTGATGTTTTTTCTTAAATGCTTTATGGTCCTACAACTCACCATTATGATCTTTTTTTTTTTTTTTTTTAACACTCTTTTTTTTTTGTTTTTTCTCCGGTACTGGGAACTGAACTCACGACCTTGTGCTTGCCAGGCAGGCGTTTTTGCCACTGAGCTAAATCCCCAGCCCCTCATCATTATGATCTAAAAGTACAAAGTATACTTTGTTACTTTATTTATAACCTAATATATTAGGATTTAATCAATTGAATATTTTGCATGTCATACAATAATCATAGTTTTGCTATTTTATATAGTAATAAGCTATAATTACATTTTACTTGAACAATTACATTTAAATAATATTACTTAAATTTTAATATAAATTTTACTTGAAAAATGAATCCTGAATTGTGATGGAGTTATGCTTTTTGTTTTCTTTCCTTCCTTTCTTATTTATAGGCAGTACTTAATTTTCCTAAATATTGTGAACCTGTTGTTAAAGGAGAAGGTAACTATGAAACTTTACTTACTAATATTTATTTTGACAAAAATGGAAAGTAGGGAGATCTTTCTCAAATAGGAAGTAGATCAAGACATGGAGGGAGGGTGGCAGAGGGAGGGAGAGGGGATGAAACTAGGAATGAAGATGTGTTATATATGTATTCCAACTCTAAAGGAATGTAAATATGTCCTAATAAAATAAATAAATAAGATCTAAATTACTGAAATTTTCTCCTGTTGAGTAGCAAGTGAACGTGATACTCGCAAACTGTGGAAAAATATTGAACCTCATCTGAAGAAAGCTATGCAGACTGTTTACCTCAGGGAGGTATCAAGGTAATTACTGTTCGGTTTGTGTACTACAGGTTGATTAACCCTTATCTAAAATTCTTGCGAACGGAAGTATTGGAGATTTGGGATGTTTTTCAGATTTTGGAATATTCACATAGACTTTACTGGTGAGCATTCATAATCCAGAAATCTGAAATATTACAAAATCTGAAACTGTTTAAGTATCACAGCAGAGCTTAAAAAGTTTTGGCTTTTGTAATATATCAGAATGTGATATAAAGCACCAGTGAGATTCTGTGATAGTACAAAAATGGCATTCTCACACTGGCCTACTGCTCCATTTGGAAATGCTTGAATTGCTCATCCATTTTCCCTCTTGCTAGCTCCTATTTACCAATGTGTAATAAAATTTACTAAATTCAAAAAATAATGTCACATATTTCATATTTCCTAATTGTTATTTAATAAATGGGATAAGCAGAGTAAATAAAAAGAGAAACAAAACCATAGGAAGCTAGATCCTGACTTAGCGAGCTATTACGGGGAATATATACTAGTTCTATAGTTTTTATAAGCAGTTGGGATGACCCCCACCACGTTCCCTGCTTCATCTTAACATTCTGACCTATTCTACTTCTCTTAATTGATTATAATTCTGAATAGTCTTTGGAAATTGCTAATTCCCACACATACATTTTGGAACGTACCTGCCCTTTCTAATCAAGGTATCAGTAGAAATGCTGCTGCTACCACTTGCACCTTGGCAGCCTTGGTCACTTAGAGTGTGTGACCCTTGGTTTTGCTGTTTGGAGGAGAGAAGAAACAATATTGTCTTTCTCATAAATTTATGAAGATTAGATGAGTGCTTAACTGGGTTCATCATGGACATTTAGTAAATGTTCAGTCTTTTGCTTTTGTGTTAAGATGGTCAGTTTTCTTCTGGTTGTCCTGTGAGAGTTTTATTAATAACATTAAATGGGCAGTTGTTATATAACAAAACTTTCAACTTAAACTATTTAGAAGTCAGATTATAAAGGTATAACTGATAAAAATTTATTTCCATTCACATTTATAAAAAATAATGAATGTGAAAATGTCCTGTAGCCTATGAAGTCCACTGCTCAGTTATAAGGTGGAGAGAGGATCAGTTTTAAAGTCAGCTTGCCGTACCAGACCACTCAGCACAGGTTCCTACTGGCCTTTAAAGTTTCTCACCTTGCTGAAGTCTCAGAATGTTCAGCCACGTCTGCAGAATTTGTAAAATGTAGAGTATCACTTGTGGTATTTAATTGTTCTAATTTGGCATTACTTTTAAGTCCACTTTTATGAGCCTTATAAGAGAGTCTTAGAGTTGAAAGTACCCTTATATATTGTTGTATCTAACTGCCTTATTTTTTTGATGAGAAAGTTACTGATTTATTCAAAGCTATAAAACTAAAACTTCTGTCTTCCTAAAGTTATCTGTTTCATTTTATCGTAATGTGTTTCCTTTATGTACTTGATTTGTCCTATCATAATCACTTCATATTCCTAACATTTTGGCTGTTAATAGTTTTAATTGTCCACCCCAGGGTGGGGTGATGAAAATAGCATGAACTCTGCAGGCATTCTGCAAAGAGTCAGTTTTTAGCTCACTGTGTGGGACTGACTGTTCTGATGTGATCATATCTACTTTAAGGGGTTGTTGTAGAGTTTTGAAATAGTGTGTAACAATTATTTCAAATATGATAACTAGAACATTGAGAGTTTTACTGAACGGGAGGTGGTACTGGTATGTTTTGATAGTTTACAGTTATCAGAATATAAGATCATTAAAAATTAACACCTGGGTATTAATACCTTCTGTAAGTTTATATTGTTGTAATATGTGCCAAATGATTTTGTACATTAACAAACATGTATATTGCCTGTTATTATTTTTCTTGTTTTTATTTTATCAGTAAATTGGAATTTTTAGTGTTTTTAAGGAGTCTGTCTTAAGTATAGCGTATTTATTTCATATCTTTTCAGTCCATTTTTCTCCTTCTATTTTCTTTAAGTTCTCAGTGGGAAAAGCTACAGAAAGATGACACAGATCCAGGACAACTAAAAGGTATCAAAATATTGAGACAGTTATCAGAGACATTAATTATTGATATGAAGGTTAATACAAAGACCAACCAGTAAGTAGTGTTATAAAAGAGAATTTACCTTATAAGCTGTAATAATATTTTGATTAATGATATTCCTTTAACTGAACAGCAGTTTTGTGTTTTCTTTCTTGGGTTTGTTTTTTAGGCAGCATTTCACTAGGTAGCCTAGGTTGGTCTCAAATTTGGAATTTTCTTGCTTTCCTAATTTTCTGTTTTCCATATGTTGGATTGTATCATGTGAAAGAATAATTTACATTTCTTTCAGTGCTTTCATTAAAACAGTTCAATATATGACACAATTTTCTATCATTGTGTACATAGTTCATGAATTTCATGGAATGCGGTCCAGTTATATATTAACTCAGTTTAGGGATATACTTGGGTGGTTATGTTTTCAAAGCATCATAGTTCTGTTTGTTTTAAGGGAACTTGGACATAGCTCAAATAGAACCGATTTTACTTTAAACATTAGTGAATATTTAAAGTTTTCTTATTTTGGGGGGATTTGTTTTTCTTTGTTTAGTTTTGTTTTGTTTCTGGTACTGAGAATCAAACTCACGACCTTGTACTTGCCAGGCAGGCACTTGTGTTGCTGAGCTATATCCCCGGCCCTTCTTGTTTTTTTGGAATGTCAGTCACTCATATTTGGGAATATTGTATGAAACAGGATGGTATTAGATTCTATGTTGTCTCTTTTGTTTTCTGAAATCTGCAGATAATTTAAAAATGATTTCCAGGTGTATAGCGGAAGAAGAAAAAATAACTAAAATTTTTAAAAATCACACTATATGATCTATGCTACATCCTGTGTGACCTTGAATACATCTCACTTTCTTCATTTGTAAAATGGGGAGAATATGTAGCTTTATGTTACTATGAAGATTGAAAGTGGTCCTTAAGTGAAGCATTGTGCAGTGTCTGACACATAGTAGATAATCTGTAAATATCACTGTCCTTCTCTTCCCTTAAGAATCTTTAGTGTTTGATTGTTTTATTTATTCATTTGTTAATTATTTTTTAGATACATGTCAATATAGAGATAGCAAAAAAAAAAAGCCACTCCGTATTGGAGATGGTTTTTTTTGGTAAACAAACTATGTCATTCAGTATGAGATATAAATGTGTAGGGGGCTGTGGGTTTAGCTCAGAGGCACAGTGCCTAACTGGCAAGCGCAAGGTTGTGAGTTCGATTCCCAGTACCGGAAAAAAACCAAAAAAAAAAAAAAAAAAAAAAAAGAGAGAGAGATACAAATGTGTAATGAACTGTTAACATAAGACATAATATGTGAAATAAACATGAAATGCACAGAATAGGATTTTATCATAGAAATAGTTTTCTATTTTAGCATTTAGGGAAGCAACAGAAAAGGTTTAATAGAATACAGAGTTTAAAGAAAGAATGAGGAGAATTTAGACTACAACGGCAGGAGCCAAGTAAAAATAACAAAATAAGCAAAACATGTCAGTAACGTTTGTCACTACCATTATTGCCATCATTGTTAGCATCATGGTGTCACTTTCAGCTCAGAGAATAGATCATTTGGAGTAAGTACCATGTTGAAATCAAAAGGTAAATGAGAGGAGATGTTTAAAACCTAATGTAGCCTGATAAAACCCTCATGAAAATATTTTGTTGTATAGGTCTTTCAGCGTATACTCATGTGGAACTTCCATATTACTCTAAGTTTATTCTTATTGCTGCATACCTTGCTTCATATAACCCAGCAAGAACTGACAAGAGGTTCTTCCTTAAGGTAATAGTAATATACTTTTTTACATTTTATTTTTGAAGATTTTAGGAATATAGTTGGCTTCTGTATACGGTAAGTCTCCGACTTCCAGAGGACTTCTATTCTGGGTGAAGGTGCATAAGTCAGGTTCATTTGTAATCTGACAGAGTAAGCCTTACCCAGTACTCTTGTGAAAGTTTGTAGCTCGATTGTAAGTCGGGAACTTCTGTACATAGATTCCACCCAGGTAGGTTCATCCACCTGAAGATCTGAAGAATTGCATCTGTACTGAACATGTACAGACTGTTTACTTGTCATTCCCTTAACAATATAGTATACCAGCTATTTTATTGGATCTACATTGTATTAGGTATTGTAAGTAGAGACCTTGTAAAGTACACAGTGGATGTGTAACTAGTACATTATTTTCTATGAGGGACCCAAACGTCCTTGGATTTTGGTGTTTGTAGAAGTCAGTCCCCCAGGGGGACTGAGAAATAACACAGTGTTTTGCAATTTCTCAACACCTGTAAATTTCTAAGGAGGGAATAGAATAATAAAGTAGATAATGTGTTTGGGACTCATTTGCCACCTATAAATTTAGATCATGATGTGAAATTCGGGAGAAGGTAGCTACTTCTATAGAACAGAGGAAATCAGTTACAAATTTAGGTCTAAAGCCCTTTTATTTCCTTAGAACATTCTGATCCCTTAAGGTCTCTGTATGTGTTCTGTCATCCAGGAGAGCTACTCCTCACCTTTCAGGTTTCAGTTTAGATGTCCTTTCAGAATGTTCCTTACTGTCCAACCTATGCCAAGTAGATTTTCTTCGTTGTTATTTCACATGATGCTTGCTTTCCTTATTAGACCCACAACATTTTATAATAAAATTCTTTTCCTTTGTATCTGTTTCCCTACTCTTTAGTCTCTCAGTGGCCAGGACCACATGTTGTTGTTTTCCCCACTGTCAAATCCTGAATGTGTAACTAATATCAGTCAATATGTAGTTTGTGAATTGCCATCTTCCCTTAAGAGATGAATAAAGGCCTGTTTAAGTTTGAAAGTTCTGTTTTTCTAGAACTCTTTTAAACATGCAGTTCTAAATCAATACAGAATAAGTGCTGCTTCTGCTATTTTATTTTAAAGTCCCTTTGTTAAATGCAAAAGTAATCTTGCATCTGATCCAAATCTAAGTCAAGTCTGCCTAAAACATTGGAGTCTAATATATACAAGGTGGTAAGTAGAATAACATATTTAAAGTCTAATATTATGTGCCATGCTTTAAACAAACTATGTGTTTTGGTTAAAAATTCTTTTCCTTAATTGCAGCATCATGGGAAAATCAAGAAAACCAACTTTCTAAAAAAACATGAGAAGGTATTTGCATTTTAAATTCTCTATAATGGTAGAAACTTATGAATTGATGCTAACATAGGAAATGGATGTGTGTTAGTCTTTTGCAAATGAGCTTATTTGTGTTAATGTGGTACCATTTAATGTTTTAATAGTTTTTTGTTATGTAGAACACAGAGACTGAAGGCAGATTCAAGTGAGCTGATGCTGGAGATAAAATTAAGTTGACAAAGTCTTTTCAGTGACTTAGTTGATGAAAAAATCGCTCTGAGTTGTTTAAACAGTGTTGATTGAATATGGATTTATTTCTCTTTTTTACTTTGAAACACCCATGAAAATAACATTTAAGAAATAAAAGGGAAGAAAACTCTTAAACAGTTGAGACAGCCCCCAAATTTGGAATCACAAAGTAGATAGATACAACTCCAAACAGATCAGAGGAGGTTAACAAGCAAGCCAAGCTGATTTGGCCTGAGAAATCTGGAAAAATTTAGGAATTAGAGGCACTAAATACTTTTGAAGTTAGAGGCATGAGGCAGTTAAAATTGGTGAAAGAGTATTCAGATGTTCAGGTCACTTGTTCCTAATGGGTGCTTACTACATCCAAACCACTTCACCTGTCTTGGGAGAAGGTGGAGAATTTTGCATAGTGGGGTTTGTGTCATAGAAACTGTGAGTTATTTTTCACTCTCATTCCTAAAAGCAGTTTGATAAAAAGATGTCTCAAAAATTCTGCCATTTAGATGGAAAATCATGCAGACAGTGGTTGTTTCTGGACTCATATGCATTAGTAGTACTGTGAAAACTGTCATGAGAATGATAAATAAAATTACCAAATTTTAGATAGTTATTCCTTCTAGGGAAATAAAAGGAAAATAAAATAGGAAAGGCTTCAGAGGGCTTAGAGTGTATCTGTAATGTGATAAAATTTCTTTGCATACCTTGTATAATTTTAGGATTTGATAAAATTGGATGGTTAGTACATTGGTGTTTATTAACTTCTCTACACTTTTCTAAATGGCTGATTTAGTGAGAAAGGCATAAAATTTAAGACCTGGAAAATGATTTCTAAGCTGTCTTTTAGATATAAGTAGCTGAAGTAAATACTGCAAATACTGCTTTAATTCCAAGCAGTTGTTTTCCTTTAAATGAAAGTTTTCTTTTGAGTAAATACGTCCATGCATGTAAATATAATTTCCCACTTTATTTGCCACTCCTAGTATTAAGTACTTAAATTCTTACATTGCTACTAAAATCATTTGCTAATAGCATGGAGCTTGAACACTGATTTTCTAATGACTGTGATTGTACTGACTGTTCATTCTTAAAATTAAGTTAGTATTTAGTATAGTTAATCTTTCTATAGCTATTCATGTTGAGCAAGTACATTTTCCAGGAAGTGGTCCAAAGAAGAATGGTGGGAAGTAAACAGTAAATTTTAGTTAGGAGTTAAGAACCTGGTTTTGGTTCTGTGACAGATCACGTAGTTAAGTCATTTACCACCCGGTTACAGCAGCAAAATGGCAGCACTGTGGATGATTATGATTTCTTTAATATTAGTGATTCTAAGAAAATCTTAAGGCATATGATAAAAGACATTGTAATCATATCAGGTAAGTTCTACTTTAAGGACTACTGGTCAATTTTTTAGCAGCTCAGAAACAAATATAAATATATTGCTATTGGGGAATTTATAGTATAGAAAATGAGGACTTTAAGAAGAAAATACATGTTCTTTTCTTTTTTTTTGTTTTTAACAGACAAGCAATCATCTCCTTGGACCTAAACCATTTCCACTAGACCGATTATTAGCAATATTATACAGTATAGTGGATAGCAGAGTGGCTCCAACAGCAAATATCTTCTCCCAGGTGAGCTTAATCCGAACTTGGTGTTGTCATCTTCACAGCCTTCTTTAGGTGGTCCAGTTGATAGAGTTCCAGGTGATTATAATGACTAGTGTGCTTGGTTAGTACAGTTGACTTTCTGTATTTATGTGTTCTGAATCCATAAATTCAACCAACCACAGTTGGAAATATTCTGAAAAATAAAGTTGCTTCTGTACTAAACAGGTGCAGGCCTTGTCCTGGTTTTTCCTTAAACCAGTGATGGCGAAGCTTTTAGAGCTTTCAGTGATAACAGGCAGCAGGCTGCGGCACACCTGTGTTCAACACCATTGCCCTGACAATACAGTGTAATATGTATTTGCAGCCATTTACCGCATTTGCGTTATAGTAGGTATTCAGGTATAAATAATCTACAGGTCATTTTAAGGAGAGGATATATGTAGGTTATTTGTAAGCACTACACTATTTTGTATGAGACTTGAGCATCCTCAGATTTTGATATTCATTGTGGTCCTGGGACTGATCCTTGGGGACAGCAGGTAAGAACTTTAATTGCATATTCTAAATATATACCCTTTGGGGATAATCACCAAAGTTGTATATTTATAAGTGTGACCTCATGACAAAAGCAGTTTAATATTTCTGGCTCTTTTTCTGTCTTATTTTCATTCTTACTATCATGCTGTTGAAGTAAACAAAGTGGCTTGATAATTAAATTGATGTTATATAAATATAATTCATTGGAAATAAATTTAAAATTTTTATTTGTAAAAAGGTAATGTACAATGTCTTGTGTATGGACTTGCAGGTTGATGTCCTCAAAACTTCACTAGGTGGCAGCAAAAGCATAAAAATAGAAAATAGGACTTAAAAAAGAAAGTAAAGGGTCTGTTATGACCGTTTTGTTTTATATATGTAATTTTTGATTGAGAAATAGGTAAATAAAATTCATATTTTAACAAATTCAATATGAATAATTTCATCCCAGGATAGTTGTCAATCTTTGTAATCTTTTATATGATAGTAATATTTAATTCTTCATTTATAGAAGACTTGATAACAAAAATAGATCACTTTTCTATAAGTATGCACTTATGGGAAAGTTTATCTACATATATTGTGTCCTTGAAAAAAGGTAGTCCAATCAGTTACTATACTACAAAGCTGCCTAGATCTAAGGTAGAGCTCTAATGTTGATAATTTTAACAATGTAATTCACTTTTAATCTATGTTAAATGAATTTTCTCTCATATCCTAAAATATTTTGTCAACAATCAGTTTTTAGTTAAACTTAATATTTATTTGTAACTTTATCTAAAAGAAGAGGTTTTTGTTTTGTGTCCTCTGTTACAGTAACTCTGAAATAGCAAATATTGTAGTCTTTATTATAAGAAGTTGAGCCTCACAATAGGTCAGAGACATTACATGACTTTCAAAAGTGAGACTTGGAGAATTAAAGCCTAGAAAAGTGAGAGAATGCATCTAGCATCATGTGGGATTCTATTTCTCACATTCCCAAAACTTACCTTTGTGGGGTACCCAGAAGATAAGTATATTTTTCCTTTAAGGAGTTTGCAGCTTATTCTGGGAGGAAGTAACTATCCGTAAAAAACAATGTTACAAGGCTATAAATGAATGCTAGATGCCACTGCTGAGACCTGTAGAGCAGAAAGAGACCGCTTCTGGAGCAAGCAGAATGAAAAACTTCACCGTCAGGTGAAAAGTGGAGCTCGGCTGTTGAAATGAGTGGGTTTTGTTGTTGCTGTTGTTTAACTACTTCTAATTTATATAAGTGATACATATTTATTGTACAGAAATGAAAATGGGTAAATAAAAAGGGAAAATACTATGTGAAAACCAGCTGACATCATATTTTCCATCAATAAAAGTTTAGTTAGATTAGAGATTTAGGAAGAGAATAAGGAGACCAAAGGTATGGGACTAAGAAAAGCTGACACATTTGGGAATTGTCACACTGGTTTGGCTGATGAGATTGCAGGTTGTGTCGCAGGACTAGTGGTCCTTGTAGTTATGGCTGCAGGTGTTGGGCTGGTATTAATAACCAGAGTAATAACCCCCACCACCGTACATCACATGTTGGTGCCTTGCATCTGCTCCTTAGGTTGGTAGAACATTTGCTTCTCTAGAAATAAACTCTTGAGCAGTTTTTGTCCTTCAGGACAAAAAAAAATAAAAGCAATTACAAAACAAGGGAGCTTTCTGGCTTAGAAATTTATCCCTTCTCTGGGGTTTTGACTGTGAGCAGTGTCACCAGTCTTTATGGTTTTAGCAATGCCAGTAATGTAACAAAAAGCACTTCGGCCCAAAATGTGTCTTTATCTGTTAATGATGTTCAATTCTTTTCAGACTTGGCCTCTGAAGTTGATATTTTTTTTCTTCATCTCTTCTCATTAATACTTAGTAATCAAAACACTGCTATCAATTAATTGGCTTATGTACGTTTAATAAATCACATTAGGCACTTGGTAATTCTGATTGGGATACAAAGGATGGGAGAACATATAGGAACAGATACAACTAGCCCGAAGGATTTGACCATTACTTTTGTTTGGTCAATAAAGTACTCAAGAAAATCAAATTCATACCATGTTCAAGAACAAAATGTGGCAGAAATCATCTGAGAAGAGGGTATTTCTCTCACATGCTTTATATTTTTTTCCTTCCCACTGATTCCCAGTGACCTTTTTTATTTTTATTCTTTCATCTTTCACTCACCTATCAAAACTGTATGAGTACTCTAACCCTTATGTATCACAGTTTATGTCTACCCTAGATATGCCCAATTTTTTAAGTGACCAATAAAAATAAAGCATTTTTATTGGAAGTGTTTCTTGATGTGAACACCAGATGGCAATATTGTTGCATTCTAGTTTTAAGAAGAACTGGCAAAACAGTTTAATTTAACGTTAATGTTTAGAAAAAAATTCAATTTGACACATTGGTTTATTTAAATGAATGCAAAATTACCCAAATATATTTAATAATGTATGTATGTACTTTCGTGATAATATAAATAAGATTGGCAAGAAATTGTATTGCATCAGTATTTTCCTCCAGGAAGTAATTTTGTTAATTGGTTGAGATATATCAGTATGAATTGGTAATTATTATTTTCCTGTACCTTTAGTATGCGTGCAACTATTTGAAGGATTCGTAATTATTTAAAATGTTTTCACATGTAACAAAGTGATCATATATGATATACACATTCAAAATTATTTGAAAGAAAAGTGTACTTCTGTTGCATTTCATTTAAATCTGTTCTGTAATGAAGTTATAAAAATAATAATTTAAGGATGATTTAAAGTTTATTAATACTCTAATTGAGAATAATAATCAGATTCATGGTAGTTATATTATGGTTGGTATTCTTCCAGATTTCTTTATTCATTATTGAATGTTAGATAAAATTTTATTCATTAATTCATTAATCTTATAAATGCATAGTGATAGTACATTTAACATTGTAAGTTCAGTTGGTCAGATTTAATGAACATGATTGAAAGTATGATTTGAAATTTTTTAAGATCATTTTAGTTTTGCACAATTTTTAACTTTTCATGGAGCATTTAAAAAATATTTACCCAAAATAAATGTACCTCTTTAATATGTACCAGAACTAATGAGTGACAGAAAATTACTTCTGGTGTTTTTTTCTCCCTTCCTTTGTCTTTTTCTGATGGGTAGGATGGACAAATGTGTAGTGTATAGTTATTACCTTCACATTTCTAGTTTGATCAGATAAGATTTTGGAGACCATCTTTAAAAGACAAACACTAAATTACTTTTTCTCCAAAAGTATATTAATCCAGTTTTTTGTTTGTTTTTCTTTCCTTGAGGAACAATGTTAACTTGTTAGGAAATATTTGAATGTTTTGTTTTGTTTTGTTTTATTCTTCATATATTTTTTGGATCTTTTCTTACTTACCTTTGCCCTCATATAGTTACATGAAGATAACAGGAGTAGAAGGACTGTCAAATGTAACAGTTATTTGAAAATGGAGTATTAAGCTACATTGCATTAATTTTTTTTCTTAAGGGTAAAATTGCTGAAGAATTTATTTGTATGTATAGGTTTTGATACTATCTTTCTACAAGTAGAGATATTTAATATACATCTTTTATATCATATGATCATTGATCTTATCAATTAACATTTTGAAAAATAAGTTTTCAGAATAATTCACTAGAATTCTGCTGTTTAAAAGGTTTAAATAAGTTATTACTATAAAATATGTTCTGAATTAATATCAAGAAAACAGCTGAAAAATAAAAATGCATAGTTTTGTTTAAAAAATCTGTAATATGTAATTTCTGAAAGTTTCATATTTGGTTGACTTAATCAGAAAAAATTTGCTGTTCTAAATTTAGTTTTATTCTTGTGAGCATGGATAAGCATTTGGGATCACAGGTTAATGTACAAATATGTTTATAAAAAGTATATGTATCCATTTCTAGTTTCTCTGCTTTTGGACTGATATTGTGTATCAGGATATGATATATTTGGACTTGTTTATTGCATGAATTAAATTTTTTATCATGAATCAGTCATCCACAGAGGTTGCAATCCTCAGTTTTTTACTCATTTAAATGTTGGTTGTATGAGCTAAATAGGATATATTTCAAGTATTTTATTTTTCCAGATAAATTTATCATTAACCAAAAGGCAGAATGATAGTTACCTTATCTATGACAGTTTCTTGAAGTGAATATTTCATTTCTAATTCACCATAGCTGTAGAAAGAGTTCTACTATACTTGTTAGGGTAGCTAACATTTTATTCAGCTGAAGTCAGATTTGTGGCATTGTTCTTCAAATACACATAGACATACAGGATTTATTTTGAGTTTTTCAAACTTCTTTCTCAACTTTTATTTAGTTGTAATGCATTAAATATTGAAAATACTTTCATTTAAGTTTCACATACAAAGTCTTTATCTTTTTTCCCAGTTGGAATTAATTTTTCCTTGCTTAAAATTTTTTTTTAACAATTTTTTTGGTAT